TCGTGTCTTTTATATTCCGTACAACCGTGGTCATGACCATGATAAACAAACTGACCCAAAATAGAGAAAAGAAACCGCGGAAATCTCGATAATCGCTGTCGGGGTCGAAATGAGATACTCTAGGTTTGTAATCGATTGAGTAGAACAATCTTCGTTTCGCCTGGGCTCGTATCTGCTTCCTTGCGCATGATATCGATTGTACTGATGGGGGTGCGTCTTCCGGAATAGGGGTGGATCGGCCACTTTCGGGGACGGTTAGCTGTTTCCAGTTACAGGATATACAGGATACTGGCGGCTGGGGATTAAGATTAAGGAGGTCAGGCTATTTTTCTATACCTTGATAAATAAAATGATAGCCTATCTGCGCTCGCAGAGGTTGAGAGACAATGGTCTTCGCTCTGGCGTTTTGGCAGCATTGCGCGTGGCCGCAGGACGCTGGCTCCAGCAACCCCGTTAACATGTACAGATGACATGGTGAGAATCGCCAGAGACACTAGGATAAAACTCAATTATAAGGAGGAATTGGGCTACCGTGTGATAATCATAGTAGGATAACGATAATGTATATACAACGCTGATGAAAGAAAACGCTATCTCAATGCTGGCGGGACGAAAATACTCGCATATTTTGGCTCTTGAGCGGTGCTTCAGGCGAACTTTCCTGGTGATGTCAGCGCACTGGTGCGGCCCCATGCTGCTTTAGCGCCATCTGAAAGTTATGCGGCACTAGCGTGCAAAATCATCAGCACATAGGGCTGTGAAAGTTCGTTAAAACAGCGACGAGGAACGGCTTTATCTGCTTTTCAGACTGGCCACGACGCCTTGTTTGTTCTATTGATACTATATCACCTACCAACTCAGATCCCCATGGAAGAAAGCTCTTCTCGATCAGCGATTAACATGCGGAGGACAGCGCGTTGAATCATCTGCTAACAATGAAAACCGGTCAATGCACTCATGAAGTCCCTACAACCACTGTATATATATATGGAGAGCCGGCACTGAACAGGCGAGAATATCAACATACAACGAGTTGGAAGATTGTGATCAGGTGCCAGTGACTAGCCTCTGCTCTCAGGTACACTAATGTTATTTCTTTTCATGGCAGTGGGATCCATTCATTTAGCTAAGCCCTTCTAGCATATTCACGAGCGAGGCTGTCCATAACTACCCTGGCCTTTCAAAGTACGTGCTCCGTTCTCAGGTGCTCCACAAAGAACGTGATGCCAGAGCGAACGCATATTCTCCTCGAGAATCGATTTTTCGGCTCCCGGAGCCTAAGGGTAATGATGAGTCTTGCTCAGTTTTCCCGGGCCATCATTTATCTGAAAATAATTAGAAAGTGCATCAGGTTCAACTAAAAAGTATTTGTGATACAGATAAAGTTCTGCATGTCTCCATCCGGCATGCGGTGCCTGTGGGCCCCCAGTCGCAGGGAAATGCGTAGATTGCATCAAGATTAAATTCAGGTGAACATTGAATATACCGACGGTGTTTTGTAGAAAGGGCACAGAAAATATATAGAAATTTCCCTGAATATTTCGAATGTGAGGGGCATGGTATTGGCTATTCATTCGAAGAAAATATCTCGGCTGTTGGGAGTGTGCTGCAATGATAATATAAAGCCCAGGAGCTGTCGATGCCAAGCTTAGATGCCAACGGTAGAGGTCACGTTCAATCAACGTTCAAATAGAAACCCACTAGACTGTATACAGTTAGTGTCCCCTTTTGACCTAAGCACGCTGACAACCAACGACACATGGTGGGCGAAATGAATCTGATATGTGAAGACTATAAGGACTTGGACACTCCAACAAACGCTCTCTCGAATCCAGGGAACGGTCGCAAAGTATTCCCGCGATATACAAGCGCTGGTGCTTCGGGTGACAAGCTACATTTCGCTGTCCCCAATTTTGGGGTCCTTGCGACCACCATGAGTTCCCGTATGTCCAAACCCCTCATCCCCATCGACAGTATGTTAAGGCCACTTACTCATATCGATCCTAGTCAAGCAGTTCATTCGAAATGTGCGAGCGGCCAAAACTATCGCTGATGAGCGATCAGTGATCCAGAAGGAGAGTGCGGCAATTCGGGCCAGCTTCAGGGAAGAAAGTGCGGATTCAAACGTAAGGTATGTGGGGGGGAAGCCTTTCAGATCTCCGGAAGGCCACATTCTCACACAGCATTTACAGGAGAAATAATGTGGCTAAGCTACTCTACCTGTTCACGTTGGGTGAACGAACGCACTTCGGCCAGATAGAATGCCTCAAACTACTAGCGTCACCTCGTTTCGCCGACAAACGGCTAGGCTATCTGGGAACCATGCTACTTCTCGACGAGAACCAGGAGGTCCTGACATTGGTCACGAATTCTTTAAAAAAGTCAGCCTCACATATGAATCCCTCCCCCTTCAAATAAGCACTTTGCTCATTTTGTCGCGTAGTGATTTGAACAACTCGAATCAATATGTCGTCGGTTTAGCACTCTGTACGTTGGGGAACATAGCCTCTGTCGAAATGTCGAGGGACCTATTTCCCGAAGTAGAGTCGCTCATATCCACTGCGAATCCCTATATCCGCAGAAAAGCTGCCCTTTGTGCTATGCGTATATGTCGAAAAGTCCCCGATCTCCAGGAACATTTTATAGATAAATCCAAGGCGCTTCTGTCGGATCGGAACCATGGAGTCTTACTATGTGGCCTCACTCTCGCGATCGAGTTCTGTGAAGATGACGACGCAGAAGGCGGGCATGAGGTTATTGAAAAATACCTTCCACTGGTGCCTGGACTCGTGAGAGTGTTGAAAAGCCTTACGACATCTGGATATGCTCCAGAGCATGACGTGTCAGGCATCACCGACCCATTCCTGCAGGTAAAGATACTTCGGTTCCTGAGAGTCCTCGGCAGGGGTGATGCGGCGACAAGCGAATTAATCAATGACATCCTTGCCCAAGTCGCTACTAACACGGAGTCCTCTAAAAATGTGGGCAACTCCATTCTCTACGAGGCTGTCTTGACAATTCTCGATATCGAAGCAGACTCTGGTCTTCGGGTGCTAGGAGTCAACATCCTTGGCAAATTCTTAGCTAATAAGGATAACAATATTCGATATGTAGCACTCAACACTCTCATCAAGGTGGTAGCTGTTGAGCCAAACGCTGTCCAAAGACACCGAAATACCATCCTAGAGTGTTTGCGGGACGCCGATATTAGTATACGAAGACGTGCTCTGGATCTTAGCTTTACGCTAATCAACGAAGGCAATGTCAGAGTGCTTGTCAGAGAGCTCCTGGCTTTCCTTGAAGTCGCTGATAATGAGTTCAAGCCGGTCATGACAACCCAAATTGGAATAGCTGCGGATCGATTTGCCCCCAACAAAAGATGGCATGTTGACACTATGCTTCGAGTCCTAAAACTTGCAGGCAATTATGTCAAGGAGCAGATTTTGTCATCTTTTGTCCGCCTGATTGCAACAACTCCCGAGCTCCAAACATATTCCGTACAAAAACTCTATGCTAGTTTAAAAGAAGATATCTCGCAAGAAGCCTTAACTTTAGCTGCTTCCTGGGTTATAGGCGAGTATGGAGATGCTCTTCTCCGTGGTGGCCAGTACGAGGAGGAAGAACTAGTGAAGGAAGTGAAGGAAAGTGATATAGTGGACCTTTTTACCAATATACTTAATAGCACCTATGCTACTCAAACAGTGACGGAATACATTATAACGTCTGCAATGAAATTATCGACAAGACTCTCCGAACCCGCGCAGATCGAACGTATTCGACGTCTCCTTAGCAGTAGATCTGCAGATTTGAGTGTCGAAATCCAACAAAGGGCTGTGGAGTACACCAATCTGTTTGGGTACGACCAAATAAGGCGTGGCGTATTAGAGAAGATGCCCCCACCTGAAATCCGCGAAGAGCAGAGAGTCCTAGGAGAAGCAACCAACAAAAGGCAAAGCAGATTGCTGAGAGACAAATCAAAAAAGCCAACCAAACCATCAGAGCAGGATTTATTGCTTGACCTTATGGGTGGCTCCGACGATAACTCTGCCAACATCACTGACAATGCTGGTGGATCCCAGAACACAGCTGACCTGTTGGCTGATATTTTGGGCGGCGACTCTATTTCCGCTACCACATCTAGCCAATTTCATCCTTCGTCCTCCAAGCCGTCTAATGTGAGCGGTATCATGGATCTTTTTGGTTCAAACGGCATATCCCCGGCACCCCAAGCGCCACAGTCTTCTACATCGCCAATGGGACCTCTAGGAGAGCTTAATTCCCTTCCTGTTCAGACACCTTCCCCAAGCTCCGTGCCCCCCGGCCACACCGTATTTGAGAAGAATGATCTGCTGTTGACACTGCAAATTCAGCGGAGTGACTCTGGTGCCCAAATATTGGCTCGATTCCGTAATACATCTACTTTCGATCGCTTTTCCGGTGTGGGATTACAAGTGGCTGTTCCTAAATCTCAAAAGCTTCAGCTCAATGCCATCAACAAGGCTGACCTGGAAAGGGGACAGGAAGGCGTCCAAGGAATGAAAGTCTCTGCTATCAATGGGGTATGCTTTCCATATTTCCGTTTTCTCTCTTTTTTTGCTGGACTCTGATCGACGGCTTACGCAACCGATGTTCTTGAGCAACTGCAGCCCCTAGAAGGAAACT